TTGACAGCGCATAGTCTTGTTTTTTCTTGCATAGCCATTACAAATGGCATTGCTAATAGTCTCTTATAGAGTTCTGCTAATTAATAAAAAAAAAAGATGCAAAACAATTATCCATTAATGGATTATCATTAGTATTATCAATAATTAATCATTGTTAATGTCAATGTCAAGTCTCGCTTCATTATACCGATAATATGAAAACAAAATTCATATAGATTATTTATAATCTTTGGACGAAGGAAACATCATCATACTGAAAATCTAGTAAGAGATCTCAACATCAGAATCATCGTATTAGGACTTCGGATACGAAAAATCTCTACTGATTTCTATAAGGTTTATAATATATTCGTATAAAATCTAAAAAGAAATATGATAAATCAATGCCAATTCTAAATTGTATTAGAAAATTCCATATAAACAACAAAATAACATGAAATTATCAAGTATGATTTCCATGAAGCGGCATTTTTTGTTGATTAATAAACAACTTCAAAATATATTTCTTTCGACTTTTTTTTTTTTTATAAAAGTTTAGTTCTTTTATTTATATAACAATATACATTTTATAATGAATTTATTTTTTTGAACCTCCAAAACCACTAAATCCCATAATAGCAGCCATCTCATCTTCGACAATATCTTCATTATCATTAGTTGATTGATATTCATCTAATTTTCGTTTTTTATTTTCTTTTCTTTTATCACGTCGTTGTGCTTTCATTTTTTCTTCCTATAAAAAAACTCTAATGAAATATAATCAAAAAAAAAAATTTCATTTACATACTTCTTCTTTTAATTCTTTCATACGTTCTTCAAAATTATATTCTTTTTCAACTTCATTTTGTTTAGCTTTATTTAATTCAATTCGTTTTCGTACTTGATCAACATTTGATCGTTCAACACGCATTGACATACCCATATTTCGTTGATCTAAATATATAAACGAAATATAATTTCATACATATATATATAGAAATAATTCAAACATACGTTTTTTTCCATTAATATGATCCAAAAAATTTATCGAATCTTTTACAATACAATCACATACATTACAATAATAACTAAATGAAAATTAATTTAATAAAATAAATAAAAACAAATTTACTTACCCTCCTGCATCAGAAGGTGCTGTAGCTTTTGTAACAATAACAGATTTACCTAATCGAGATTCTAAATCAACCTAAAGACAAAAATGACATTAAAAAAAATCAATAGTTTTTTTTTTTTATTCGTTTAACAAACTTTAAATTCTCGTGCTTGAAGAAGTGTTCGTGCAATTTTTTTTTCATCACTTTTTTTTTGCTCTTCGTCATCATCATCACTATCATCTGTTGTCGCTGATTTCTTTTTTATTGAACGAAGAGTTTCAATTCGATCACTTGCTTTTCTTTCATATTCACGTAAATCCCATCGACGACGATGATCATCAGAACGCTTAAAAAATAAATTAAATAAATTTCAATTTCTTCAAATCATATTTCTTTACTTACGACAGCCGGTATTGACATAATCGAATAAGTAAATAAATGAATGAATATTTGTTTTTTTTTAAATATTTCTATTGGTTCATAATAACAATTAATATTTATTCATTAATCTGAAGAAAAAAAAATATTTTTTTAATTTCTTTTTTAATGTTTTCAAATTATAACCATTGAAAAAATATTTTCTAAATCACTCTCTTACAGCGCCATCTATTTTTCAATATTAAAATTCAAATATTTAAAAATGAATAAACATTTTAATTTAATTTTCAAATGGAATAGATACCGTACACTCGAAGTAACTACAAAAATAATTTGTATTTCTTATTACGTCATCGTCCATCAATCAATCAATGATATATATATATAATAAAACCTTGGATAATGAATGAGTCATTGATCAGAAAAAAGAAAAGATCGATTTGACATCTGTAGATTGTTTTTCTTCGGATTTACGAAGAAAAACATTGCATCGAACATTCTAATCTTTGACAAATGTCAATATATGTGAAGAATCAGAAAAAGACAAAAAAAATTATCTATTCGAAATAATTGAACTTGCATAATCGATTGAATTGAGTCAACGAAACTTATCTTTTCTTTTTATTTACATAAAGATTGGGAGATACTTCTTTTTCTCTTTACATTTGATCTATTTTTTCTTTTCTTTTTATTTTGTTCATTTTATTCAAAGATGGAGATTGATTCAGCCATACAACAACGTTTATCAAAAGCTAATCAGACACATTTACTTGCTTATTGGTCTGAACTTAATGATGAACAACGTCAAATACTCTTACACGATATTAATGAAGTCGATTTCGATCGTGTTAAAGAAGCTTACGACGGTATCAAACATGACTTATTTACAGGAATAAATGGTGAAAATAAAAAACAAGAAGTTATTGATGATATTATGGAACCTATTCCTGATCATATGGCTGGATCAATCGATGAAGCCAGTAGAGAAGAACTCGAAGATTATCGACAAAAAGGATTAAAAGCTATTTCTCAAGGTTCTGTATGTGTATTATTACTTGCTGGCGGACAAGGAACTCGTCTTGGTATGATGATTTTTTTTTGGTTTGATCTTAATTATTCTTATTGATTTATTTTTGTTCTTCAGGCGTTGACTATCCAAAAGGAATGTTTGAGATTGATTTACCATCAAAAAAATCACTCTATCAAATTCAAGCTGAACGAATTCGTAGACTTGAACAAATTGCTAATGAACAATTTAATACAAAAACTGGTATTATACCATGGTTAGTTTTGTCGAAACAAAAATTAAACATATGACAAATATATGAATATAATTTAGGTTTATCATGACAAGTGAACATACACAAGAACAAACTGAAAAATATTTTCGTTCACATAATTATTTTGGTTTAAAACGTGAAAATATAATTTTTTTTGAACAACATACATTACCAGCATTAGATTTTCAAGGAAAAATTTTACTTGAAGAAAAATATAAATTAACAAAAGCAGCTGATGGAAATGGTGGTTTATATCGTGCATTAAAAACTCGTTCAGTTTTAGATGAAATGAAAAAACGTCATATTCAATATGTTCATGTTTATGGTGTAGATAATATTCTTGTTCGTTTAGCTGATCCAATATTTATTGGTTTTTGTTTAAAGAAAAATGCCGATTGTGCTGCAAAAGTAAAATTAGAATTTGTTTTTGGTTTTCTTATTTATATTTATTAGGTAGTAAAAAAAACCATTCCAACCGAAGCAGTTGGTGTTATATGTAAAGTTGGTGATCGTTTTCAAGTTGTTGAATATTCTGAAATATCTGAACAAACAGCACATAGAAAAAAATCTGATAATAGTGATGAATTAGTATTTAATGCTGGAAATATTTGTAATCATTTTTTTACTTTAAATTTTCTTCAAGATGTTTGTTTGTAAGAAAAATTTTTGTTTTATTTATTTTTAATATTCAAATTTTTTTTTAAATTTAGAAAAGGTGAAAATGAACTTCGTTATCATGTTGCTAAAAAGAAAATTCCATCTGTTGATACCAATGGTATATATGTTGATAAACCATCACAAATCAATGGAATTAAATTAGAAAAATTTGTTTTTGATGTTTTTCCATTTTCAAAGTAAGAAAAAATTTATTTACTATAGAATACTAGTATAGTATTATATATTTCATATTCAATAGTTAAATCATTATGTTATTTGTGTTGAGAAAGAAAAATTAATCCATGGATAAAGTACATCGGATTACAAACTTTCGGATCTAAAGCCGATTAATTAAAATTTTTCGGACGCGCACCCGAGCTATACTCGTTATACACTCAATGAAATTTTCTAATCCAAATTTGATAGAGTTACTCGAAAGTAGAACGCATTGAGTTGATGGTTCCGAATCCAAGCCCGAAAACGTTCGATAGAGTGGTTCCGGATCCAAAAATTTTCGACATGATGGGTTCTACTCGAAGATTATCAATCATCTCGGATCGGTTTAAGCATGTTGTTAACGATTGTCTTAAGAAGAAGGAATAATTTTTGACTTACAATGATTATTCGACTCGATTCCTTTTCAGATCTTATTATTTCGAGTTTTCCATCATGAATCTGTTGAATAAAAACATCCGAATAATTTTTCTTCGGGGAGAAAATTAAAAGGATAAAATACTGATTAAAATTAGAAATGAATATATACAGAATGAGAATATTTTTTTTGTTTTGTTTGAAAAATAGAACATTTGCTGTTTGGGAAGTACGTCGTGAAGATGAATTTTCACCATTAAAAAATGGTTCAGGTTCAAAGGATACAGCAGCAACATGTCGACGAGATTTAATGATTCAACATGTTCGTTGGCTTCAAGAAGCTGGTGCTTATTTACCATTAGATGTAAACAAACATATGTATGTATAATCAACTATTTCTTATGAAAAGAATTTAATCAAAAAAATTTTTTTGTTTTGTTTTAGTGAAACAATTGGAAAGACTTGTGAAATTTCACCACTTATTTCATATGCTGGAGAAGTATATAAATTAATATTTTATTTAAAATTTTGTTTCTATTGATAAATTTTCTTAGAATCTTGAATTCACTAAAGGTCAAATCTATGATCTACCAATTTTTATTGAATTAAATACTGATACACAAGAAGTAAATTTTCTTTCAAAAAAATATGATTTTATTTATTCATGATTGTTTTTTCTAGCCTATCACTGATTTCCCTAAAAAACTATCACTATCAAATGGTGTAACACCTATATCGATGCAAACAAATGGAGTTCATCATTAATTTTTCATAAGAATGAATTCTGCATCGATAATTGCCGCATTTTTATAGATACATATATATATATATTCATTTCTTACATAACAAGTTCGTACTGCTCAAGGAAATTTTTAGCGGCTTGTCTTTTTCTTCATCCGGGGTTCTATTCTCTTTTTATGTGATATATTTATTTACAATTAATTTATTATTTCACTTCTTTTTTTGTTGTGTGAAGGGAAATCTTTGAATGAGAATAATATTATGCAAAAAATAAATATTTAATAACTACATATACAATCATTTGATAAAATGAATATTTTGTTGATGATGCTGATAAAACGATCATAGACATTGTTGTATTGATAATTGATGTTGAATTAAATTGGATGCTAAATATTAAAGAAAAAAATGAAATATAAATATAATTTTGTTTTATAAATACTGATTTTGTAAATTGTGTAATGTTGATTTCATATTGATTGAACTAGAACAAAGTAAAAAAAAAAACTAAGTACTCATTACTAAAAACTTCAATGTTATAATTAGAGATGGGCACCGGCACCACAAAAATTTTCTGGTCCCGGTAAAAGATTTGCTTGCTGTTCTGCTATCTTTATTGTTAAAATATTCTTTGACTGTACATTTTGTAGAGAAATGCTTGCTCTTTCAGCCTATATATTTTAAAATGTATCACAGATCTTCTTTCTCAATTAATTAAGCCAATACAATGACTGGGACTAAATTGGTCCCGGTCATCTTGGTCTAGTGGCGTAACCAGGATTTTCTCGTATGCTGGATCTTATCTTTAGAGCATGGGATCCAGATAAAATTTATAGAGGTATGACACTGGACTCAAATGATGAATTTTTGTCGCAAGATTTTTCCAATAGGAGTTTGCGAAAAAAATTAGCATTTTCCTGCGCCCTACCAGAGTTTTTTCTTTTGCTATTTGTAGCATTCTATTTTTTAGAATTTAATAGTAAGCTACATCAAAATTCATTCACAGATTTCAAATTTCATCTAAAAATATGCATCCATTCATGAGTTATAAAGTTTTGAAAGTTTTCTAAAATTTTCGCAGTGTGAAACAAAAATTCAAAACCTTAATACTCGTGAACGGATGCATATTTTTAGATGAAATTTGAAATCTGTCGATGAATTTTGATGTAGCTTACCACTAAATTCTAAAAAATAGAATGCTACTAATAGCAAAAGAAAAACTCTGGTGGGGCGCAGGAAAATGCTAATTTTTTTCGCAAACTCCTATTGCAAAAATCTTGCGACAAAAATTCATCATTTGAGTCCAGTATCATACCTCTATAAATTTCATCTGGATCCCATGCTCTAAAGATAAGATCCAGCATACGAGAAAATCCTGGTTACGCCACTATCTTGGCCCCGGTCATATATTTGCTTAATTAATTGATAATGAAAATCTGTGATACATTTTAAAATATATAGGCTGAAAGAGCAAGCATTTCTCTACAAAATGGACAGTCAAAGAATATTTTAACAATAAAGATAGCAGAACAGCAAACAAATCTTTTACCGGGACCAGAAAATTTTTTTGGTCCCGGTGCCCATCTCTAGTTATAATCAATTTTGTATTTATAAAAGATAACCTTTTTTCATTGGTAGTAAAAATAATCGTAGATGTTAAATTCTCTTCACCATAAATATTTTTTAATATTTCATATCGATCACATAGACCACAAAGACGAGGACATTCTAATGGAACATCAACAGCTATACAAGATACTGATGAATGATAAGGACATGAAGGTAGCATTGAACAATTTACTAAAAGAATTTTTTTTAATGAATATTATTAAATCAAAGATTAAATAATTTACATTTTTCACATTGTAGACCACTTGCATATGTAGAACATTGACATTTACATGTATTTAAATCAAGGGTACCATTATATAGACATACTTTACCTTGACAATCTAAAATGTAATTGTTTATATTAGAAGAAACAAGATTATATGATCAAATAACCATGCAATGGATGATATTCAATACTTGGTTTGAATGCTTCATGGTAATTGCTATTTAACATTCTATAATATATTTATATATTCATTTATTTTGATTCTTCATTTTATTACTTACCCTGTGATATAATTACAAATAAAAAAACGCCATGGAATATTGTGTGTTCCAAATGGCGGACAAATCGTTGCTGCACAACCAATTAATACTGATGAATGCCATATCATCTAGATTAAAATATTAATAAAATTTTAAATTGTCATTCAATGATTATTTTTTAACCTGTGTATAATGACTGAACATATGTGTTGATGGAAAGGCATGATAATAATATTCTTTTTCTTCACTCCATCCTTCTAAAACTTCTATCCAATTTTCATAACCCATAGCAAGATTTTGTCCCGTTGATAAAGGAATTTCTAAAATTTTCTATACAATAAAAAAAACATCGTATTTTTCTCTCTAATTTACTTGGTACATTTCGTTGATTGGTTTTATCATGTTCAAATATACATGTACGAGCATGACGAAGAGCAATTTCAGCTAAATCATCATTCCAATACTATTAAATATCAGATTAAATATGATACAAAACAAAAACTCGACTATACCATTTTTTCGATATTAGTACCATATGCACGACGTCGTTCATAATTATGCATGTTAATAATATATGACCGTTCAGATGAAGTAACACGTTGATCAATAACATTTGGAAATGGTTTCGAACAAAATGTATGATTTGGATCAATAATACGATATTCAAGTGGACACATATCTAAATAAAATATACATTACAATATTCATGTTTCGACGGAAGTTATTTTTTTTTTCTTACGATAAAATTTTAAAAAATTTACCAATAAGAAAACATAGGAGAATACGAAGAACATTGTCTATGAGATTGAATGAATTCTATACTATATCAACTAGATAATTTCTTTTTTTTGTATATTGATATTATCTGTGTCACGTATGTATATATTGTTCGAATGAACATATTTATATGATGTATTAGATTAGATCATCAAATACATAACCATAATAATAATCACACTGATTCTAAAAAATGGCACTTCTGTGAAATAGGAACAGGCTATTGTATCAGTTATTTCTTTTCTATTCTATTGATGGAATAATTTGTTGTTAGAGATAATAATAATAATAATACATATAGAAGATTTTTACAGTTATCTGTAAAAGACCCGAATACTCCAAATCAAGAATTGATACTATCAGTAGATCATCGAGCTGATTCTATGAACATCTATATCTTTTACTAGTGAGTAGACCGACTTGACGTAGGTACATACCTAATATATCAGTAGTCTTAGAAAAACCGGAGAGATGTATTTTCTCAATTTTAAGTTTTATCATAGAATTTTGTATATAACTCGTGTGAAGATGTCCAATTGATCTCTATAATCAATAACAGTATTTGATAGTATCAGCATCGTATCCTCTTCTTTTTAGACTACTGAGTCAATTACAAGGCTTAAAATTGAGGAAATACAATCCTTCCTATTTTTCTAAGATTATTAATATTTTGGGTATGTGCCTAAGTCGGGTCGATTTCATTGGTAAAAGATATGGGTGTTCGCGTCTTTTACAGATATCCGACTTTTAGTACGGTTCATAGATAATGTATGATCATGTTTGATGTTTCAAACTGAAACATCCGTGTTGTTGGATAAACGGATATGTTCTAAATAGGGACCGAATAATTAATAAAAATGAGTGCTTAATGATAAAAAGAATTCAATATATGAATTAGTTTAATTTCGTATTGATTTCTAACGAGACTAATAAACAGATGGATGATTACTTACAAGTCTTCTTTTAATTGCAGAGTATCTTGAAAATAATATTGACTCGAGCATAGATATCCCATAATATGCATCCTTTTGTATGAAGTGATACTTAACCCTTTGACTCCCGGTGCCGCATAAATACATCCAAATACAGTTATTGAACGAAAGTGTCACTAGCATATTCATTAATTATTTGGAAAAGCTTTTTATCGTTTTCACAATAGCTGCTTCAAGATGAAGACATTTGACTAAATAACGAAAACAGTCTCAACAATAATGCGTAGTTTGCTCATGCGATCCCAAGTCAAACAATCCAGTGAGCAGGACTCTCATCCTGATTTCGTCGAAATCCGATAAAAACCGACTTAGATCAATAATTCTATTAAAATATTCCTATTAACATAAAGATTGTATGTATCATGAGTTTATATTTACATTAACAGCTTAGTTGTTAGTAATTTTTTTTTTTCAAATAACAAAAAACGAGATTCAACAGCATTACAACAAGCCAAGGAGACAGAATAAAAGAAATGATCAAAACAAAAACCAATATAAACCCCTTCCTGCAATAGAAGATTAATTCGTCATATATAATAAAGACTTCTGTTTAATTAATTCACTTTTTCGAATAAATTAATATATTTAGATAAGAATAAGTCTCGTTCTCATATTTTTCTGCTGACAAATCTTCGAAAATTAATATGAACATCATTTCCTCCAGTGAAAAATTTCGACATACTGGACGACTCGAATTCTTCTATTGTAGGAAAGGGTTTAGTTGATATTCAGCTAAATAAAAACAACCAAAAAAGAATGCTATAGCATATAAGAAAGAACAAAAGAATCAACCCGAGTACTACTTAGAGCACCCACAAAAAGAAAAGATTTAAAACATGAATAAAATCTTGACTAGGAACATAAAAAGAAAATAAAATGAATATATTAAAAAAAAGCGATAAAATATGTTGTTTTTCTTTTTTTAGGAATTTTTGACCGGTGTCGTTGCATTCGTTGCCTTTTTATATCGAGATATTGGCAATGGAAGTTTACTTGGTCGTCGTTGTTGTGTTGTTGATGATGTTGATGCACATGATTGTTCAGAAAGAATACTTTCACGACTTGATGTTCGACTTAGTGTTGATGTTGCAGGTGTATACATTGGAATTGGTATTGGTATTAAGGATGGTCTTGTTTCTGAATCACCTAATTAATTATTAAATTAAAAAAAAAAACAACATAATTTATAGATATAAATTACTTACTAAGAATATGTGGTGATGCTGAAAGATCTTCACGTGATACGGATAAATCACCATTTGATGATGAATTTTGTTGTTGTTGTTGCGTTAAAGATATTGTTGATGATGTTCGATTCGATTTATCTTTTAAAGACTGAAAAAAGAAAAGAATAATACATAGAAAAACAAAATTTATATTTACCTTAGTAGGTGTTGCTATTGATGATTGTTTTAATGAACCAGTTGATTGTTGTTGATGAAAAAAACATGTTGGTTGATGAACAGTAACAAGTCTTGGTTTAAAAAATGTCATTGTTTGAGCAACACCATCACGTAAAGCATAATTTTCTGGATGTAATTCATAATTAGTACGACCTTTAGCTATAAGAAAAAGAAATTAATATATGAATAAAACAAATACACAAACAATAATTGACAATACATTGCTAAACAATAAAACATCTATAGGCGGCGGAGCTATAAGATTTAGATAGGCTGAAGCCTACTTCTTGTACAAACAACAATAATGTTCACCGTTGTAGTAAAACTGACTTACGAAAGGAATGTTTCTAAGTTACTCAAATCTTTTTTCAGATTTTTTCTATATGTCATGATGAAGAAGAACACTTAAAAATATAACTCTTCTAAACTTATGTCTGCCATTATCACAACGACAAATTCTGATATTCTCATTTTCGTATAGGTGCAATTAAAAAGTTTGAAATTTTCATAATAAGTGATCCTCATTAAAGTCTGTCTCTGTGCAAAGTTCCAAGTCGAAATTCGAAACTCAGTTTCTCAGAATAATCATAGCTTCTTAAAATCTGCATGATGCACATTGTCCCGATTCGAAAACAATTTGATACTTTGAAACGTTCTTCAGGAAATGTTGAATTTTCTATAATAAAACGTTGGGTCTTACATTGTCAATGATTTGAAGTAGTATTTCTTTGGTACAAGTGAAGAAGAAGAAGAACTACACTGGCAACCAAAGTTAGATAAATTACAAGCTGTCGAAAGTTTTCTTCGTCTTCAGTTGCTAAACTTAAATGTTTAAGAAATATTTTCAACAAAGTAAGCAAATTGAAAATGGAATTCCGTTTTTTTTTTTTTGGAACGCTGCTTCTTCACAATTTTTCTCTCAACGGTACTTTCTGTACGCAGTATAAAATGTAAGTTTCTTATGGGAATCTTATAAAGATTCTGAAGCCTATCTTAGAATCAAAACGTTCCGCCGCCTATGAAAACACCTACAATCATGTGATGGATATTCTGCCATATTTTATAAACATCCTGCAATAAGTGATTGCACAAAGAAGCAAAACAAAATCAAGCACACATAATTATATAAAGATGGATAGATCAAGGTACCTGCAGCAACAGTTGCCAAAAATCGACTATAAACATGCATTCCTGTATACAATATGGATTTTATTTTTAGTATAAAAAATAAACATTTATTCAACGCCAGAAATATACTCGGAAGAATAAAAATTTATAGATATTATTTAGCAAGTATTTGATGTTTTATAATGTCAAAAATTTTGTATAGTTTTTCAGATGTTAAGAGACAGTTTCTATAAATCTTTTTAGTATTAGAGAATTAATATGCAATCTGATATGTTAAAGTGATTTGAATTAGAAATATGTCTATTTTATCGACGTTCTTCTGACAGGATCTGAAACTATGATAATTCTTGTAGTGCATATAATTGAATGACAAGTCTCTCCAGACGTTGTTTCAGGCTTTTGGGGAAATTATCTTTTCGAATTTTGTTCTGAAACAGCTTCAACCTAATGGTCTTACATACATTAGCGTGTACAAAGAGTTTCAGAATTTCATACTTCGTATCTTTGAGATACAAACTTTTAAAAATATTTTTCCATTGTTGAACATCCATAAAAAAGTGTTTCGTTTTTTGAAAAACCCATAGGTCGGAGATATGAGGTCTGAAATTCGTTGTATTTGCTAGCGTTTGTGAGACCTTTCAGTGGATATAGTTCCTGGACAAAATTTAAAAAGACAATTTTTCTCAAAACCTATCGTCCTATAGGGATCTCGGGGAAATATACACATTAAAGATTCTTATTGAAACCGGAAGGAGACATTTGGAAATGTTCCAGTGTAACAGGCCACTTTTTTGGTAGTCTAGGGCGAGACAAGTCGAATTACTTATTGAATCGAAAGAGTAAGATGCGTTTGTAGATACTCAAACTTCTTCAAAAACTATCATGTATTAACAAAAAACTTTCACGAGTAAAATGCCCATTGATCAATCTCAAAGAGTCAGATCGGTTACTATTTTTAATTAGACTATTCTACTTCAGTAGCACTCATGCCACTTATTGCAATTTATAGTGTACTCGGTCTTATGTGTGGCTGAGAAATATCATGGAACTAAATAAATGTTTTACTTTTATTTATTTGCTAAATGAAACTTCCAAAACATTCATATAATAAAGATTTCTAATTGTTATCAATTGCAAGGTTCAAAACCCATATAAAAAGTTTTACTGAAAAATTAGAATAAAATCAGATTTTCTTACATAATAAATCTTCCTTAAAAAAACGAAAATAAATTTTAGGTCGGATCGGGCCAAGTTGTCCATTTCGAAACCTGTCTCATAAACCTAGGTACTGTTATGGTCTGATCATTTGTTTTCAAAAAAAATAATTTCTTATAAAATTCTACAATAGTTTAAATAGTTATATTTCTATTACCTCGACATGGATCATGTCGAACAAGAAATTCATCAAGTGCTGTCCAACCACCACCAACACGAACCATGACTGTTGAACGAAGTATACGAACAAGACGAAGACTTTGTGATTCACCAAACTAAATAATATTTATATATTCGATTTCAAAAACCAAATTTTTTTTGTTATAAATAATTTACTCGATATCGTCCTTCGGCTATTTGTTGTACATCATATTTTTTTGAACATTGACAAAGAGATGTTTGTCGATTAACTTCACTTTTAATTCTATCAATATCTGCTACTACCGGTTGAACTATCTATTTAACAATAAAAAAAAAAAGGATAATCGTTGATTTATTTCAAATTAATCAATTACTTTTTTTGCTGTTTGAATAGCTTTTTCTAATTCTTTCATTTTTTGATTTGCACGTGTAAGAATATTTTGCCAACGTGTTTGAACTGATATTAAAGAATTTCTTATATAAATTGAATCATTTTTAGGTAAAATATATTTTAAATGTATAGCTAATTTATCTAAATCAATAAAATATTGTTTATATGTTTCTAATTGATTTTGAAATATTTTATGTTCATCGATTTGTTTTAATAATGTTTGATATAAAGCAAAACGACGTTGAATTGGTTTTTGTATATTTAAATAACGTTCACTTTCAGTTAAAAAATCCGTAGATTTTTTTAATAATGTATGAAAAAGTTCAATTGAATGTGTTAATTCAAGAAGTTCTTGACCTTTTTTTAATGTTCGTTGTTTAACATCGATTAAATGTTCTAAAACATATAAAAAAAAAACAATAAAGAGATGTATTTTTTGTTTTGCTTTTATTTACGTTTTAAATCTTTAATTTGTTCATTATTATCATCTGTAAATTCTTTATTAATTTGTCTTTCAATAAGTTCTAAACGTTCGATAATTAAAGAATATTTTGTATGTATTGTACTTTCATTAATTTGTTTATCAATTAAATTAAGTTCATAATAAATTTGATCAAATAATTTTTGTTGAAATTTTATTTCTTGTAATTTATTTTCTAATAAATTATATTTTTCATTTGTTTGTTTAAGTAATTCTTCCCAACGATTATTTATTAATAAAATTGTATTTTTATCTTCATAATTATTTTGTTTTAATTGTTCAATATCATATGATATTAATTCAATATCATTTAAAAGTATACGAAATTTTGCAATAAAAATTTCAATTTGTTTTATATCAATAAGATTTATATCAGAAGAATTATTAATTAAAACAGATAATTTTATTGCACAAGCATCTAATGATTGTGTTATATCAGCAATAACATCACCAATACGATTTTGATGAAGAGCAGTTTCATAAATAAGAGTTTTCCTAAAATAAATAAAAACATTATATTGAACTTAAGGCCTTCCCCCCCTCAAAAATCTATTTCAGCCCAGGAACGTCCGAATTAGATGAAACTTTCAGGATATGTTGGGGTTGGAAACAGAAGACTACCATAAAATTTTCAGCCCAAAATCTTCAGGTTTCAGGGAGATATGAACCAAAAAAGGGTAAAAAATGACTCATTTGGCATCCCGAATTTTTCGGTCAACATGTTAATATTTTTTTTGTTGTTGGAAAGAGCATCTCAAGGCGCAGGGTATGACGAGGCCGCTTTTTTTAAACAGTCCTTTTTTAAGCGCAAAAAATGGATCACAAGTTCAATGTCTCAAAAAATGGTAGCAAAATCATTTAAATGGCTATATATTAACTAAACAAAGGCTTAATTCAAAAAAAGGCACGGTCATGCCCTGCACCTTGAGATGCTCTTTCAAGCAAAAAAAAAAATTTTAATATATTGAACGAATCGGGAAGGAGAAATTTGGGATGCCTTTTTGAGAAAGTGGAAACTGAGAAAAAACGAAAAACAGTTTTTGATTTTTCAAAAAACAGCTGGTTTTTCGCATAGGGGTTGACGGAAATCTTGAAAATTTTTTGGGAAAAATGAAGTAACGAGAAAAACAAATTATCGTTTATGAAAGAGCAGATGACGGGCTATCTTCCCATGCATTTATCTCAACTTTGACCATTCTGACGAAAACTGACTTTTTATGAGGGAGGGGGGGGGGAGGGCTTAACTACGAATCATTTAATGTTTTTTTGTCTTTTATTTAGAATTTATATTGAAATAGTATTCACTAAATTAATAAGTATGTCATGAAAAAGTGATGCTTGAAAATTTTTTTTTTTAAATTTAATCAAACTAAAATTAGTTGTAATTTGTCAGCAGAATGATTACATCATTATACAGACAGTTGTTCTTTCTCAATGTTGATTTAGTTAAGTGATCAATAAATTTTCTTTTTGTTGATTTAAATATTGTCGATGATGCTCTATGTAAAAGACTCTTCATTGAGGCAATACCATCACAAGCATCTATATTAATATTAATGATATGTAGTTAGAATTTATTTTTACATATTCAATTGAAGGAATACACTCTTTAATTTAGAAGAATCCGTAGCTTTCTATAAAGTGTGGATGAAAATCTTGGTATTCTATTCATTCACACCGATATCCTTCGAAATCTCTCTGATTATCATGATTAAAATAGCCTGATAAGCAAGGCCTCTTAATGTGAATAGATAATTAATTTGCTATAGTATTATCGGATCGTACATCTGTTATTAATAGAAAAAAAATATACAATGTTCTGTATTGAATATAGTTTTAAATAAATACAAAATCTTTCACTTACTGTTCTTGTATTTTATCTTTTAATTGAGCCCATTTAGAATCAATTTCTACAAATTGTTCTTCAACAATATTTGGTTTTTCTTCTATAATAAATTCATTTTGTTGTTCAATATCAGTATAATCTTGTTTTAAATTAATAATATCAATATATTTATCATCTAAATGTTCTTTAAATATTCGAATATCTTCTAATTCATTATTTGTTCTAATATTTGTTGTAAATGATGATTTATCATTAAACCATGTTGAAACATTTTCTAATTTAGTATTTAATTCATCAGATTTAATCATTGATTGTGTTAATTCTTGTTGACATGTATTTAAATCTATTTCTAAATGTTTCCATTGTTGTTCTAATTCATATAAATAACGATAAATATCATCTGTTTCTTGTTGATTACTTGAAATTAATGTTAATAATTGTAAACTATATTTTTGTAAAATATCTTGATATTTAATTTCATTATTTGAAAAATCTTTTATTAATTGATTATATTTTTCTTGTTCATTTTCAAGATATTGTCGAGATGATGAACGTGGACGAATTTGTAATAATTGTTGAGAAATATTATTAAGTATTATTGAAAGTTCATTATATTCTGACCAAAATTTATTAGAACATACTTGAGTTAATAGAAGATTTTCTTCACGTAATTCATTTGTTTGTTTCATTATTAACCAATGTTGATTTAATAGAGCAAGTTTTTCATCCAGAACTTTAAAAAAAAAACACATAATACAAGTTTTATAGAGAATGAATTTTTTCTATATTATTTTCTTGACTTTTATAGATAGAAGAAAATGGAATCGTGCTTAGTTAGCTGGAGATCTAGAAATTTATGTGCGTATACGTCACCATGAATGTAGATTAAAAGCATAGTCACATCTGGATTACTTTTTATAACTCTGAAAAGGAAGGGTTTCGCGTCAGACAGTCGATTCCTCATTATGTCAGATTGAAAAGCTAGAAGCAAATGTAGATGCAGTTCATCATAACTCTCTTTGTACTTTAGCAATTGTAATGCGATTTTACCGCTCATCTACATTCGCGCTGGGGTATGTTTTTGTTCAATACTGTTTACAGGGTAGACATTTAGATCCAGCTCTCTCCGCCTCAGAGACTGTGTATCAATAACGTCTTGTTCTAATATTTGAATTATTTCCTTATTGCATTTCTAGAGGATTAAGTGAAAGGATGATGAAGAGATGCGTTTCAAAGTAGATAGAATAAAGTTATCTCTTATGATTAGCAAAAGCAAGTACATCGATGAATTTGGATTTAGGTTGTTTTTCTGTTACCTTCTAATCTCTTATTAGGTTGTTATTCGGCATTTATCTAACAATTACTGTTTGCAATCTTCAGTATTATCACCTATAGAATGACCGTGAGCAAGTCACTGACGGCTATTTTCTTCTGATCATCTGTCCGATAGCAGGCTGACGAAGTTATGACCTACAATTGCTTCTATGGTTAGTTAGTATATACGAGGAGCTTAAGCGATTGAACGCAAGAACTCTGCGACAGATCAGACTTCTGTTCAGAACTACAGCTAGTATTAGTAGTACAGAAGATATCGAGCTAATGAATCTGCCGCTTAGACGGCATCCTATACCGCAAGCTAGTTGAAAGGTAAGAGTATTCTTCCAATCTCTTACTAAACTAAACGGATCATTGAATCATTCTCCATTTGATTATCAAACGCAAACATCCTTTTATACTTCTAGCGGGATAGTTTACTGATATAGTTCACAATCAATGAGATAAGTTTGAAATATTCAAATTCTATTATTGAATTTAGGTGCATGCCTTGCTACTCACTGGTCACTAAAGTAACCATTTATAGATCGATTACAAAAGCTGAGAATATCAAAGATGTAAAAATAAACAAACTTTATAATAAACACCATGAGCTATGAATCAGTAAAGAAGAAACATTTCACTTCGTCTCCCACCATATCGAGCTTAACAAATCGATAATTTCGCGAAAATAGAACAAAAGAAATTCGTTTTAAAGAAAATATTCTCTAATTTAAAACATTATATATCTTTGAATGAAAAAGATATCTGATGTTGATTAACATAAGTTTCGAAAATCCTACGATAGTATATTAGAGAAGCTAATACTATGAAATCGTTGCTATGGAAGTTAAAAATTTAAGAATGCTTTGAAGAGAAAACTATTAATCTTTCTCGTTCAATTATCATTATGCAAGTACAAAAAATCGATTGAATAATTTTGCCATAATTTCAAAGTTGAGTTTTGATCAAAATTGTTAAACTATTTAATATTAGAAAAAAAAAACTCAAATAATCTAACCTTTGATTGAATCCATATCTTCTGTATTCGTTATCATTGGTTTAAATGTTTCTATATTTGAATATAATTGTTCAAGAGCATGTTTTCGTTTTTCTAATTCATTATGAATAACAGTATTATCAAGTAATTGTTCAGTTAATTTAATTGGTTGAGATGATATTGCATCATTTGTTGATGAAACTAATAATTCTGATAATTCATTCATAGTTAAATCTATTTCATTCATATGATGATGAAGTTCATCAACGAATTGATTCGATGGTATTGATGAAATCTAAATAAATTAAACAATTTTTGTTTTTTCGATTATTATTGTTTTCTATTATTCCGTACATTATCTGTTGTTGTTGTTGTTGTTGATTGATGTATTTCGTTAATATTATCTAAGGGAATTTTTATTTTGATAGTTAAACTATCATAATTTCGATTAATTGTTTCTAATAAATGTTCAATTTGATTATCATTTGAATCAATTGTTGAACTTTGTAATAAAAGTTCACCTTTTTGATTTAATAATTCAATTTGTTCATTAAGATTTTCAATTTCATCATGAAAATTTTTTAATTCATCATCTTTAATTGTTTTAATTTGTATTTGTTTTTCATTGAGTAAAACTAATAAATTATTAGCTAATTGATAAAATTCATGTAAATCTTCTTGATGTAATTGAATATAATCAATTGTATCAAAAATATATTCAACATATTCAGACCAAGTTTTATCTAAATAAAATAATAATAAAAAAAAATTTATGTATGAATGATTTACCAATAGAAGTAATCTCATTTTCAATAATATCAGTATCAATATATCGTTGAGCCATGTTTATTAATGTTACACCAATATCTTTGTATTCATCAATAGTTGATGACATTGTTCTAAGTTGATCACCAATGTCCTATTTTGAAAGAAATCAAAATCTTATAACACTTGTTTTTATGTGTTAATTATTGATAATTCAATAATTCGAATTCGATGAAAGAAAAGGTTATTCTCATTAGAGGAAAGTTTGTTCAACTGATATCTTGCTGGGATGTATTACCAAAGGTCATGAGAAAAGAAAAATTTTTTCTGAAAGACATTAAATAATTAGTTCCTTTCTTTGATGATTAATTAGAAACAAACAATATCTACAGGTATTATTCAACACATTATGACGTAAAAATAGCGGATGATTAATATCAGATTGTCAATATGCCAAGTTCAATAGTTAAGATGAATAGTCTTTCTTAGTTTATAATTCATTCTTTGATTTTTTCCTTATGAATTTTGTTTATATTATCGTCTATTTTTTATTTCAAAACATCTAGCGGTTAAAGCTAGACACATATTGTTCTCCGTAGATTTTGACGGACATTACTATCTATCACAATATATAATAGCAGAAGCACAGTCGAAACAACAATATTTGTCAATCGTTCTGGTTTTGTATATATTATAGATACTAATGCTAAAATAAATCGTATATACAAGGTTTTTTATTGATGGTTGACAAAAAAATAATGATATATATCATACATATGTTCAGTCTTTGAAATAAAAGATATTGTGAAACTATATTGAATAATGACTGAACATTTTGAAGAAAATATTTTATAAATTTCGATATTAAAATAAAGAAAAATTTTTCTATGTGATTATACTATTGAATAAATTTACTTTATATTTTTGTAACATAATAATAATTTGTTCACTATCTAATGGAAGTAATATAGTTTCATCTATTGTAACTAATTGTTTAGCTTTTTCAATCGAATTTTCAGCAATTTGTTTAATTAATTGATATTGATTTGTTTTTTGTTGAATATTTTCTAATAATTCAATATATTGAAGTAATTGTTGTTTAATTGATAAATAATATTCAATTAAATCATCAGTTTGTTTTTGATAAATTAATGTTAAATTTGAATGATTTATTGGTTTTGATAATTTTAATTGTTCATATAAATTTAAAAGATTTGGTGATGAATAAAAATTAATTAATTGTTCAGTTATAATTTTTAATTGTTCAATAGGTAATTTTGAATGTTTAGTTAATAAATCTTGACATATATCAATTGTTAATGTTTGATTTAATAAACGATCTGTTGTTAATAAAAATTCTTCAATTTGATTTCGAATTAAATCATATTGATTTAATATAGTTTGTCGATTTTGAAGAATTAATTTTAAATCATTTTGAAATTTTTCATAATGAATTTTATATTCATTAACTTCATTTTTATATTTTAATATATCATTTTTATCTTCAATATTTTTTGTTTCTAATAAATCATTTATTAATTGATCATATAATGTATGATCAATAATTAAATTTCGATCATTATTTAATAATAATTCTAATGCTGAAAAATTTATATCATCATTTTGTTTTATTTGTTCAACATAAAGACGTATAGAATTTGCATATGTATCAATTAGATGTGTATGTTCAAGATGAAATTCATTTAAACGTGTTGATAAACGATTAATATGTTCATTGTATTGATTTGATTGTTCATTTAATAATTGAAAATATTCATTAATTAATTTTAAAAAATTTTTATCATCATTATCAAATAATTGTTCAAAATTTATTGTTGTATTTATATCAGAATCAAATGAATATTGACGTGTACGTAATTGTGCATGAAATTGACGAAAATTTATTATTTTTTCGTCTAATTTTGTACGATTTAAAGATAATGGTTTTGAAAAAAAATTATTTTCAATTGAAGATAATAACCAATGATATAATTCATTTATACGTTCTTTTATTGTTTGACGTTCATGAAGAAAACGTTCGATTAATTCGATATGATGCATTAAACGTTTTTGAGCATCATTATAACGTTCAGTATGAGAATTAAGTAGAATAAAAAGCTAGAAAAAAAACGGAGAAGTTACATAGAACTTCTGATTTTCACATGTATCATAATGGCTTGTTTTCTCTGTTTTTTTTTCTTTCCATTTATTATAGACTGTCTGCAAAACAACATACTAGCGTTACTTGTTATAATCTTCTGTATTTTCTTATTTGCTTTCCTTTTTTTTTTTTTCTCTTGGAGACAAGAATTAGTGTTGATGTAAGGTCTTACTCATTCTGTTTTATTTTTCTTCGCGAAGGAACACACTGGAAGAAAAGAAAGACACAATGAAAAGAAACATCAACGACAAGCCATATGATTTGAACCTGTTTCTGTTTCTTTTTTTGAAAAAAACCTTCAATTATAACTCACATGTTCTTTTATTTGATTATGAATATGGTTATTCAACGCTACAATTGTTGATGTTGAAGTGGGCTCATGTGTTGAAAGCAAACGTAATTTATCTAATTGCTGTTGAACATTAAGTAAAAGACTTTGTAATATATTATCATCCTAGTGAAAGAAAAAAAAAAAAAAGAATAATAAAATACAAAAAAATATTTTTTCTTTTTTCAACAAATTTTTACTTGTTGATTCTTTTCATTCATAGCTAAATGTTGATCAAATTCATTCATTGATTTAATAAATTCTTCATCTAAATAATTTATTTCATTGAATAAGATTAAATAACGTTCACATATATCTGATATTTGTTTACAACGTTTAAGAAAATCAAAATAATTTATTGATAATAATTCTAATGATTGTTGAAGTTGTTTAAAAATCATTGTTGATTTTCCATCATCTGTATTTTCAGTTGCTTGTTGAAAATCTTGTATTATTAAATCAATTATTTGTAAATATTCTTGAAGAAATATAAAATCATTTTGTAAATTAATTCCTGTATTTAAAATATTTTTAAATTTATCATTATCAATATTTAATGTTGATAATTGTAAATTATTTTCAATTTCTTTTTCATTAGTTTTAAGCCATTCAATTAAATAAATATATTTTGTATTAAATTGATCGAGTTGAACAATAAATCGTTCAATAATATTACTCAAACCATTATTAATATCAGATATCTTAATTAGAAAAAACAAACAATGATAAAATCTTTTCTCAAAAAAACAAAATTGAA